CTCTTTCCTTTTCCTTCTCCTCCCTTTCCTGAATAGTTTATCCTTTTAAATCCATAGAGTAGTGCAGAACAAAGTAGGCTTTTGTGCTGAGGGGAGGTGGGGCATGGACCAGAGTTGGGTATTGGAGGATGTCCACATGGAGCTATACAGCACAGGGTGTTGGAGCCCAAGCGGGGTGAAGAGGGTGACATGCAAAAGGGGAGCATGCCATGACTAGTGTGGGGCATTAGCCTCAGCTGGTGTGAAGACCATCCTTTGTAGGGTATTGAAGCCTGATTAGATGGAGGGCATCCATAAGGAGAGGCAGCCTGATGTGGGTTGTGGAAATCCAAATAGGTTTAGAAGGGCATCCAGGTGGATAGGCCCAGTGTGGGGGATCAGAGCCAGGATATTCATGTGGGGATGTGGGGTGGTCAGATAGAGAGTATCAGAACCTGAGCTAGATTTAGGGAATGTCATGAATGAGGGGCTGCCCGGTGTGCAAAGTCAGAGCATGTGTGGGGTGAGGAGGATATCCTGGACAGGGATGGCTTGGTGTGGGGTGTCAGAGATGAAAGAGGAGGGCTTCCACACGGAGCGAGAGATTGGTTAGGGTGTAACAGTGATATCAAATTGGTTACACATAGGGGATTGATCAAATAATTAAATATATTAGAGGTAATGGGATCAAGGTTTCTCTAAGTCAGAGAAAGAGTTATAGATTCGGAAGGGAAGAAAACTAGAATGAAAACTGTGGTTAGATTGGAATTGGAAGTGTTGATGTGAATTCATGGTTTCAATAGGATATGTAAATATTTCCCTGGATATCCACTAAAAGGGTCTGGGAACAGCAACACCTTAATAACAGCATACGTGTGGTCTTGATCTTGGCTTCAAAATACCATTCTCTAATAAAATGGAAAAAATGGCTTATTCAGGGTTGGAGTAAGGAAAGTAAAGATGAACCTGGAACATTTTGTGTCAGAAAGCAAGAAAATACTTAAAATATTGCGGTCAGATCAAAAGGACATGAAACTAGCTTGAGAGAGCGCCCAGTGGCCATGTCTAGGACACATCGAACATCAAAATAATTATAGAAATAGATTATAACCCATCAAATATAATTGGGAACCATGAGTGCATACTAATATAAATAGATAGATAAATAAATAAATTGAAGGCTTGATGAAGAACAAATTATTAACATAGTTTCAAAGTACATCCTCACAAAATAATAATTACAAAAGAGAAATAGCAACTATCCTGGCAAACACTGGCAGATAGCACTTAATTCAAGTGATAAAAGCAAATATTATCAGTAATGGTACAGATTGCAACCACATACTGTCTCTTATGATGCATTGAGAAGAACACAGCATCTCTTCTGTGTATTTCCTGTCAAAGATGCATAACCTGGACCTAATTATGAGTGAGACACAGTCTAATCAGACAAACCTAATTGAAAGGCATTCTATGAAATAAATGTCCTATCGCCTTCTAAAGTGTCTTCTAGTTCATGTGCTTCAAGGAAAGAGTAGGAAGCTGTTCCAGGCTGAAAGAGACTAAAAAGTGCAATTCAGACTACTGAATGCAAAGTGTGATTCTGAACTGGATCTATTTCCTATAAAGGATATCCATTCGTTATTGGGACAAGTAGGGAAACTTGAATGGATTCTTAAGATTGAACTATATAATAGCAGTAATGTATCATTGTTAATTTCCTGATTTTGGTAGTAATATGTGTTTGTAGAAAGTGAACACTAAAATATTCAGAGATTATTGGGTATCAAGTCAGCAATTCTCAAGTGTTTCAGAAAAAGACTATACTGTTTATGCAACATTTCTGTAAGTTTAATATCGCCCCATAGATCATTTAGTCTCTGTTCATTCATTTCAGCTTTTCTCTCTTTCTCTCTCCCCACCCCCCTGCTTCTTTGGATTTTTATTATTGTGTCTTAAAGTTCACTAATCTTTTGTTACACAGTTTCTAATTGGCCGTTAAGCTCATGCAGTGAGTTTTTTCATTTCAGACATTGTATTTTGTAGCTTTAGAAGTTTCATTTGGGTTTTTTTTTTTTTAATAGTTTCCATTTCTCTCCACTTCATGTTTTTCTTTAAATCTTTTAGTATGTTTATAATAGCTGTTTTAAAGTCCTTATCTGCTATTTCCATGATCTCTTTCATTTCTGGATCTGTTTCTATTGACTGTTCCCATTTTCCTTCTTGGTTATGGATCACATTTTTCTGATCTTTTGTACGTCAGTTAGTTTTTTTATTGTATGCTGGACATTGTAACTATTACATTTTGGAGTGTTTGGATCTTGCCTTTAAAGAGTGAGAAATTTTGTTTTGGTAGATTGTCAAGTTACTTGCAATCAGCTTGATCCTTTCAAGGCTTGTGTTTAAGTGTTGTTAGGGAGATTCTTGAATAACTCTTTACTCAACTGCTCATTTAGTCCTATTTCTAACACATGACTCTCCTGCGGCCTTTACTGAATGCTCTGGATGTTCACTGAGGTCTCTTCTTTACTCTGGCTAGTCAGAACTGAAATTTCTCTCTGCACCTTGTGAGCTTTGAGAATTGTTTAACTTATAGCTTTCCTGTATTTGTTCTCTGCTTAGCCTTGTGGAGTTTTAGGGCATATTTGCCCAACTCAGTATTTAGCCAAAATCTTACAGGCAGATTTTGGAGCTCTTTGTTAGTGTAGCTCCTTTCTCTCTGCTGTTCTTTCTGGCAGTATCAGTTAATTCATTGTCTTTGAACTCCTGCTTTGTCTTTTAAAGTTCAGTGAGACTTGAGGTCCCCTCTCCCTATACCTCATTCTGGATAATGCCTCACTAGAGAGAGCCTAGCCAGGGATTATAGCCTTGCATTACCTGCTGTCCAAAGTCTAAAAACAATTTTTTTTATGTTTTGTCTAGTTTTCTAGTTCTTTATGGCAAGAGGGCAATTTTGCCCACCTTCTTCCTTCTTGTAATGGCTATTCCTTCCTATTTTAGCTAGTTTGGTTGTGTTATTTTCTCACCTAGTACATTGAGCAATCTCAGTGTATGTGGCTGAACTCATCCAAGGTCAGATATTGGCAGTGTGGGTGTGGTCAGAGGACAAAAGGATCAAGAAGTTGGGAGTGCTGGGACGGGAATGGTTGAAGTAAAGAGTGGTTCTCAGAGTGTGGTCTGAGGATCCTTTTGGAGGTCCATAGTATCTTGCCGCTGCTAAACTACATGTGTGAGGCTGAAATTTCTTCATATACTTGAACCAAAATTATAAAAATATTAGATCAAATGTAGAAACAAAGATAAGAATTAGTCTGTTTTTTAAAAATTAAACCAGACATTAAAGAGATTTGTTACAAAAATAGTAAAACAGTACCACCCACTCTGCTTACTAAATTTTTTGTTTGGCACTTGATAGCATGTAATGAGTTTATTATTTTAGTGAGTTAATAAATAAACAAATAACTTTAAATTTTCTGTCTTAATTTCTAATATTGAAAAATATAGGGCACAAAACCCAAAATTGTGTGGAGTCGTCAGTTAAGATTATGTAAGGATCTCAAGACCTAAAAGTTTGACAATCGCGGAAATAAAGCGCCATAGAGTCTACACAGTCTAGGCAAGAATCTTAAGGCAATGGACTGCATAAAAAGCGGGCATATTAAGGATTGAGAGATCTATTCAGTTTGTATTTTCTTTTCTTTTTTTTTTTTTTTGGGACAGAGTCTCACTGTGTTGCCCTGGCTAGAGTGCTGTGGCGTCAGCCTGGCTCACAGCAACCTCAAACTCCTGGGCTCAAGCGAGCTTCCTACCTCAGCCTCCCTAGTAGCTGGAACTACAGGCATGCGCCACCATGCCCGGCTAATTTTTTCTATATATTTTTAGTTGTCCAGCCAATTTCTTTATATTTTTTTTTTTAGTAGAGACGGGGTCTCGCTCTTGCTCAGGCTGGTTTCGAACTCCTGAGCTCAAA